TTGTAATTTAAATAATCAACATAATATTCTTACTTAGAGATTAATATTCATAAACTAGAAAACGATAGCAAATCATGTATTAAATTTGTTCACATATATTTTTAATTAATTTTTTACTTTAGTAAAATAAATTTAGTTTTGGAATTTAGGAAGTATTCAGATTAATTATTCCTTTGTTATACATCGATTCTTCAAAAGACTAAAATTTTTCTGTGTTTTTTTTAATGGTTCAATAAAATATCTTCAAAAATGTTCAAGTTTAACAATTTAAATTTGTGATAAGTTATAATTTAAATGATTCAAATAATTGTCATAATATTCTTTAGAATAATAGTTTTGCTCAATAAATATTTGTCTAAATTTTTATAACATCAAAAACTTTAACTGACTTTTAATTACTGGCAGTAAGAATCGTGCAAATTTTTGAGACTCCAATTTCGGGAAAATTTTCTTAAAATCAGTCTCCTCTGCCCCGCTTTTCAATTCGCAAATATTAAATGATTAATGAGCAAAGTTACGAAACAACTAATTATTAAATAGTTACTGTTATATATATATATTTTATAAACTTTTCATGGAGTTAATTTAATACTAATAAAACACGTGCTGTATGGAATTATCTTTTACTGAAAGAAAAAATAGATATATTTATCTTGGTGCTAGGATTTATTAATATATATATATATATACCAATAATGTTTGTACACACTTTTCCAATTTAAAATTTTCCGTTTAAATTGTATCCTTATTTTAAAGAAGTTCCTTAGGATTGTGCTATATTTATAATATTTTGGTTATTATTATCGTTATTAAAAGTTTTGTGTTATAAAATAGAGCTAATTAAGATATTTTGAAATAGATATATTAAGAATTAATATTTGTTTTCTTTAAAAATATTTTTCACCATTTTTTACCAAAAAAATTATATTAATTATTTTTAGATTACTTATTTATAAACTACAAAAGCATTTTACATTTTTATAACTCTCTGGCCAACTAGCATTGTTTATAATATTATAGGAATGTTATGTGCAACAGAAAGTTTACGCTAATATTAATAACATTTTAACAATATTGTTTATAACATTATAGAAATGTTATGCGCAACAGAAAGTTTACGCTAATATTAATAACATTTCAACAATATTGTTTATAATATTATAGGAATGTTATGCCGCAACAAAGAGCCTACGCTAATATTAATAACATTTCAACAATATTGTTTATAATATTATAGGAATGTTTTGCGCAACAGAACGTTTACGCTAATAATTATAACATTTCAAATATTGTTTATAATATTATAGGAATGTTATGCCGCAACAAGAAGTTTACGCCAGTATTAATTACATTTCAACAATATAATTTCTATTTACATGAATAACAGAAATCATGCATGAATGGTATATGGTACAGGTAAATTCAATGCATTATTTTTTCTCTCCATATTTTGTACAAGGGCCAGAATTGCTTTGCATAAAGATAGTCACAAACTAATGTTGCTAATTTTAAATAACAGTTAAGTTCTTAGCGATAACAACGTATTCCTACATTGTTATGTTTTCCGAAAAATGTAAAAACTATTTACGGAGGATGATTAGGCTGTAGGCTGGGGAAGAGATAAAATTTTTAAAGCGCACCACCCCAAAATCGACTTATTTGACAAAATATTTTTTTTTTAAAAATAACAAAGTCATATATTACAAATCAAAAATAATCAGAAAAAAATTCATTTATAAATTAAAAATTAAATAAAAATCAAAGTTGACAGTTACTTTATTTTAAACTTGCAGCATCTCTACAGTGCTAAAATTAAATATTTACTTTCTCTGATTGCAGGGCAAAACTATAATTACCGTAAAATAATACACGTTAAATTGAAAAAGTAAATAAATAAAAAGTTTCTCCGAATAAAAAACTTGAATGGTTAATAAAATAAGCAAGCAGATTATATACAAACTGAAATGATCACGGATAAATGTTTGGGTCGGTGATTAGAGTTATTGAAGAAGTGATCGAGTCTTAGAAGTGGAACCAAAACGAACTAATAACAACCAAGCCAAGCTATATATTTTCATGATATAACGGTTTGAGGAAAATATACCGACTAATAGTAATACATACAAATCTAGTTATGAGACAAATATCTTCTATTTGATATTTAAATTCCAATGATAAGTTCAGTTATTAAGAGCAAATAAAAAATCTCAGTTGCATAAAACATTCTGATATGATTTATTGGTTAAGTGATTGACATCGATTTGAACTCGTACCCTCCCCTAATGGCCCTTCCCTTACAGCAAAAATTTTGTTCTGTATGATTACTGATTGCTAGTAAGAAATGGCCAAAGGCTTTTTAAGATATCCGACTGGGTATTTTCTATTCGATTTTTTTATAGTCCATATTTGAATTTTAATTCATTAGCTTTCGGAAACTCTTTAAAATTTTGATCTCCTATTTTAATATATAAAGTTAATTTTGTTTCTAGCAGACAAAATTGGAACAGGAAGTAAACTTAAATAAAAATAATATTTTACGGTAAAAATAGATTTTACGATAAAACGGGTTTTAGAGATGATGCACCCAAAAAGCCGTTACTTTATACCGTAATTTGATCCAGATTTTTTTATTATGTGTATCACCCGTAAAATCCATTTTTACCGTAAAATATTATATTGAAATTTTTACAGCAATATTTATTTAAGTAGAGTGATTCAATAAATTTAACGGTAATTATTGCGGTAAGAATTAGGGTACATCAGTTTTTTTATTGCGTAACATGTTCCGAGAAAATGGATTTTATGGTAAGAAGTACAGGCACCTTGAATGCTTGTATTTTTTACAGTAATGTGATCCGGAATTTTTTAGTGTTCTCTCTATTCCCTCTCCTTGCCTTCAAATAACTCCCTATCTTGAATAATTACACTGAAAACATTCATTTTGGAATTAATAATTGATTTTAGAAGATTTATAATACTTTTAAACTCATAATAGAGTTATAACGAATAACACATGCAAAATCGTGCAAAAACCCATTCCACAATTTAAATTATTCGACATTTTAAGTCGTATAAAATTCGAAAATTGCCTCTAACATTTATTTCCCTTTAAACATTCGAAATACAATTTAATTCTACTTCAGATATGGGCAATAAGTATAATAGAAAAACTTACATCCTGCAGTAGCACTTAATTATACAAAATTTGTAATGCATAAAAATGTTTATGAGCATTTAGAATGTAATAGAATACAATTATATGTATAATGCATTCATAGCGTGTAATATATTTACAACTGAGCAAATTATTTTAAATTTTATGATGCATAAAACTCGAAAGCTATTTCAAAAATGTAATTTGATTTTCAAAAATACGGACTCAGAATTTAACTTTTTTTAAGATTTAAATAATTAGAATCGAAGTACTATTTACTTCGTTAAATAACTATTAATTATAGAGGATTTATAATATTTAATAATATTTNATACCTTGCAAAATTTGCAAATTACTGCTATTCAAAAAAATACATTGATATTATTTGATAAATTCAATGCGTAAATGTGTACCTTTGTTTAAAAAACAACAACAGATTCCTAGGTTGAACAAATCTTTCCTTTTAAGACACCTGTACTCTGTTTTTAATATGTGCATGAGGACTATCACATTGATAAATGATTTCCTGAATTCTTTGGTGAAAGAAAACAGGCGAAATATTTTTAATAATTATCTAATCAATTTTGAAATTTTCTGTATTGATGTGCGAAATGTTTTTTTAAGGATTTAAAAAGTGTAAAGTCTTGAGAAAACAAGGAGGTCAACCTATAAATATACGTTGCATTTGGGACTGTTCAGTGATCAAAATTACTGTTGATAGAAATTGTTTTTTTTTTACCAATTCCTGTAAAATAAATTTTGTCGTACTTCCATTCGTATGCAAAGTTATTAAAATGTCCGTAGAGCTCACCTGAAACAGACTGAATAAATCAATATATATATATATATATATATATAGAAATTTTTTTTTTTCAGATTGCAAACAAGGCGGGAAATTGCGTGCGCGAATATTTCCACCTTGCCTCCAAATTTCTTCTACCTTTAATTATAATTGAAGTTCTATTTAATTCATGCAATAATAATTAATTGCAGAATATGAATATTTATAATACATGAATATACATTTATAGTAGAATTATTTTATACGCATAATAAATTTAAAAAGCATAATACTTTTGAAGTTGAACAATTTATTCTCAGTTTTAAGGTGTTAAAAAATAGAAATTAACTGAAATATTTCTTTCTTTTGAAAAAAAGGAATTAAAAATTTAAGTATACTTTAGCATTAGGGGACTATTGCCAAGAGTGGAAATTATTATTCTATCGTACGTATCATGGTAGTTTTCAAAAAATAGTAATTAAAAAAAAGTTTTTTTCGAATTGTCAAACACGGTAGAAACTGTACGCAATGTTTCCACTTTGAATACAGATTTCTTCCTACCTTTAATCATTATAGAAGTACCATATTATAGAATATAGAAGTACTATATTAAAGAATATAGTATTTCTATAATATAATAATTATTAATTAATTATTAATTGTCGTGCAATAATTATTGAATATTTATAATATATAATTACACTTTTATAGTAGAAAATTTTTATACGCATAATATATTTAAAATACATAATTCCTTTGAAATAGAACAATTTATCCTCAATTTTAAGGTGTATAAAATTTGAAAACTAAATGTAATATTGCTTTCTTTTGAAAATAGAAATTGAGAATTTAAATATACTTTAGCTAAGAGCGGTAGTTGTAATTACATTATGCGTATCATGCTAGTTTGCAGCAAATAATTATAAAAAAAAAATAGTTATAGAAATTCTTTCGGATCGCCAAACACGGCGAGAAACTACGAGCGCGATGTTCCCACCTTACCTTCAAATTTCTTCCTACCTTGAATAATTATAATAGAAGTATTTACTTCGTGCGCCACCTATCTGAAACAGGGGTAAATCTTCTCCTAATCCGACGACTCAAGATACAACAAGTAGTTGGGCGTTCGAGGCAGAGCTGTAGGTTCAAGCGTCCCGAACAGTCCTCTATATTCCTTCATTTTTTTTTTATACATAGTGACCCAAGGATCTCATAACAACTTTATAACAATTTGTTCGAAAGAGTCTCGAATTCGAAGACGTCCGCTGCAACTGAAAGCAGTGTTTTTTCTGCTTTAGGTTCGCAGCTTGACAATTTATTTTTGTGTGTTGTGACTAGTAGTTGAGTTTGTTCTTTTATTTTCGTTTTCAAAATAGAATGACGTCTAACATGGCAAGACATAAGACGAAAGCCGCACCCCCTGTCCCCCCGAGCCGCCGCACAAATTCGGTGACGGGTTCGGTGTCCGACGCTCGGGCCAAGACCATCCTAAAGGAAGCCGTGGATGCTGTAGTCAACAGCTTCGCAAAACATACTCATGGATATGGCAGAGGTAGGTGGTGAAGTTACTTTTCATGTTAATACAGATTAATTGTTTATTTAGTACTATTCATCAAATGCAATACAAAGATACGAAAAAATAATTTCAAATTTGTAAAAGTTTTGAATCAATTGAGGTAAAAAAAGCGACCATGATCAAAATTTTAATGATTAAAATCTAAATTTTATTGAAAGCAACATTTTAAAAATCCCAAATAGTAAAATTTCTTATGAAAAACTATGCGTGTTTCGATCACTTTCATCAGTAGGATAAATGTACACATGGTGTCACTTTGATATTTAATTTATCCTACTGATGAAGGTGTACTAATGTGATACCGAAATGTAATCTAATTAATACGCATTTCGATCACCTTCATCAGTAGGATAAATGTACTTTTGGTGTCACATTGTTCGGATACTTAACCTACTGATGAAGGTGTACCAATGTGACACCGAAGCGTGCATAGGTTTTAACAAAATATTTTACTATATGCGATTTTTAAATGTTGTCTTGAATGAAATTTAATTTCATTCAAAAAGGATTACTCCCGTAATTTTATTTAAAACTTATTTGAATGGATTTGATTTATTTAATTTTACTTATTGTTGCACATTCGTCTACCATTATAAACCCCTTTGAAGAACAGGTTAGAGAAAGATATCACAAAGATTCATTCACGTTTACGAATGTATTAGAGATACCTGCCTTATGTATTAGAGTTGGAACCGTATATGATTATCATAACATTTCTATGTATGTTTAAGTTATCTATATAGTGGTCAAAATCATTTGAAATGAAATTTTGTCAGAGTTGGAACCGTATATGATTATGTTACAGTTATATGTATAGCTATCTATTTGTAATAGTGGTCAAAATCATTTGAAATGAAACTTGATCAGATAATGAAATAGAAACGCCTGAATTTTGATATCACGTTAAATAAAAAATAAGAAATATCTCGCATCTGTGATTCAAAAAGACATTAAGAGCTGGTAGGTAAAGCAATTTAAGATTTAATTTTTAAAATTAAGACTCTTATGCTAAAATATAAAAAATATTTCTCAATTGCCGTACAAGTTAGCACCTATGGACATCTGTTTCTTAAAATATTCCACATTAGTTGCGATAAATTGAAAGTTTCATCTTGAATAGTTGGTAGTTATGATCATCTTATTGGGGAAAAATTTGCAAGTCACTTTTGAAATTTTAGAAGAAAAAATTGGTAGAATAATTATCTTGATTTGAACTATAATCGAAGAGAAATATAAACACAAGACTTTAATTATACTGCGAAATAATCTTTGTCAAAAAACTAGTACTTAATTATAAAATTCTAAAGACACTAATTTTTAAAATCGAAGTAGCAATTAAAATAAGAAGCAATCCCATGTATTTAATTGTCTTGTTCGTCAACTTTTTAATCTGTTAAGTTTTTTTTGTTCGTGCTTTATCAGTGTTCTTATAATGAGGTCTTCAATTTTTAAAAAAGAATAATGATTTGTTTATTGTTTTAGTTACTACTTTAATTTTAAATTGTTGCAAAATGAAGGTTTTCGAATTTAAGTTGCATACTTTTCAGTTATGGTTATGAATGTTTTGTGGCAGTTACAATTGTAATAGCGGAGTTGAGCTAACAAATGTTTGCTGCCTGAACGGAGTAGTTCATTTAACGCAAGCATTTCACGGGTGTAAATTTTCTTCAAAAGAAAAAAAAAATTAAATATTTTAAGAATGTTCAAGGAAAAAAAGGATTATATTTGCACTATAATATAAGCAAGTCGGAACAGGGTCAGAGATGCCGATTTCCTCCGGATTGTAAAAAAAATATTTTCTAGTGGTAACGAAATGTAAGTTATTTTTAGTTTGGTATTTTTCATTTTAAACAATTTTTCCACCACTACATATCAAAAATTCAAAGTATCATAAGAAATGCAACTTCTCGTGATGACTGTTTTGAAAAGTAAAAGTATCCTTATACTGGAAGTTTTGCTATTTAATTCGCTACAAATTTATTATAACTTTTGATGAGAAGTTGGTATCCCTGCCGTGTTTAAGCTTCAAATAAATAGTTAAAAAAAATAGTGTTGTTTTGACGCTATTATATACACCATATTTTTCAGCATTTTAGCATTGAGAAAAATATCTATTCCAGTGGTAAAGAGCTAAGGCCGCAATGTTTAAAATAAATAGATTTTTTAATGAAATTTTTTTCGGAGTTGATCCCTTGAAAATTTTCTGGAGTTAACCCATGAAATATATATCCCAGTGGTAAGGAATTGAAGCTGGAATGCTTAAAATAAATAGATTTTTCAAAAAATAAACATGAAACATTGCTGATCACCAAATTAATTCGACACCTCGAACACATGTAATGAGTTATGTTGTTTTTTTGGTTGAAATACATAGCATTTAAGTGACTCCTAAAAAGGCTGTTTTTTTTTACTGCTTAGGTGATATACTAACTATCACTTTAACAATTTTAAGGGATCCTTGGACACCCTAAATTTTTCAAGTCGAGCTTTGTATATGTTTAAATTTTTTCTATTTAGTCGTTGGCAGATATACTAACTACCACTTTAACAATTTTAAAGGATTCCTGGACACCCTAAATTTTTCAAGTCGACCTTTGCATATGTTAAAAATTTTTCTATTTAGTCGTAGACAGAATTAATTCAAATCAATAATATTTAAATAGCATTTAAGAGGTTCTTAAAAAAGTAAGCTTCTACTGCTTAGATGATATGCTAACTACCACTATAAAAATTTCAAAGGATCACTAAACGCTTTGATTTTTTTAAATTTCATTCCTAAGTCAATTTTTTTTTTATTTAGTAGTAGACAGAATTTTTGTAATTCAATGAGCATTTAAGTAATATTATTATTAAGTACCATTTAAGTGGTTCCTAAAATGTAAGTTTCCATTGCTTAGATAATATGCTAACTAGCACTATAACAATTTCAAGGAACCACTGGAGGCCCGGTTTTTTTTAAATTCGTTCTTCATCTGTATGTCTAAATATTTTCTATTTAGTGGTGGACAGAATTCTTTCAATTTAATTTATTAAAGTATTTACACATAATATACGCTTCTACTGTAAAAAGTATTTTCTGGATCCATAAAAATTCTGTAATAGTTGGAGGAAAGGTATGCATCACATAAAATGTCAAGACTTAGAATAATGTTCAATATAAACATATATATGATAATCATCTTTGATGATAATTATCAAATACGTTAATTATCGAATACGATAACATCGCTATTAGTATACCGCTTTGTAAAATGGTGATGGTTTATCTAGTTGCTTTTAATATATCATGAGCACAGCAGTGCAGGCGTAAAACTACCATAAATATTCATTTTACAACAATACACATTTAGGTAGTAAATAAAAAGTAATTAAATATCTATTCCATTGCAGTGTTTAATTCTTTTTACGGCTCAGGGTTTTACATGTTTGATTTATTTACTCAAGCTATAATTTTAACTATATTTTATTCTATAATTAATTTTATTTTAATATAATATATA